CAAATCAAATATACTTCTTAAGTTGTGTGAAATATATTTAATATATGAAATTGGTGTTATGATGTCATCATTATTATTCAAGATTACTAATTTAGATTCAGTGTAATTTGTGCAAACTAAAAGATTATTTGGAAAATCTATAAATTTTTGGTTATTTTTTTTTTTTACAGATGCTCCTAAGTTTACATCAAACCAAACAATTTATTACTCTTGGGAGGGAAATCCAATCAATATAAGTTGTGATGTAAAATCCAATCCACCAGCATCGATCCATTGGAGAAGAGAGAAATTAGTTTTACCAGCTAAAAATACCACTAATTTAAAGACATATAGTGCAGGAAGAAAAATGATATTAGAGGTAAGTCTGATTTATTTTTGTAAAAGATGTATTATTTAAGTAATTATTTACTATCTCTGAATATATTTAAATATGTTCACAAGGAAATACGTACTTATACTTACATGTATATCTCCATGTGTGTTTCATATTTATTTGCTCAAAAGTAAGACTTATGTATTTGAATCATAGGAAAAATTTATTGTGAATATTTCAGTATTCACTGAAATAGTATGAGTATTTAGTAAGAACCATTAATTTTCATGAATTTGCTTTTGCCTCATGTCGAGGAAGACAAATTATTCACGACAAATTTCATGAATTTTCTTTTCAAAAAGAATCAATTTATCAAGAAAAATATAGATTGAAGAAATTTTAGCACAACTGGAAAATGCCTTTAGCCTTATCTGGAACAAAATTCATAAAAGAAAATTCATAAAGGGAACAAAATTCATAAAGCAATTTCAATCATATTAGTTAAAAGTAATAATCACATGAAAAATATGATGTTTCTCCCCAGTACTAAAGTGGAATATAAGTTTTAGAAAACCTATCCATGTGCTTTGTTGTGGGAAGCAGTTTTGAATAAATATTTATTTTTTGGAGTAAATAAAAGTCTTGAAATAAAAAATACAATATATGACTAATAATATAAAGCAAAATATAGCAGCAATAGACTAAGAAGAAAGAACAGTGTAGGCAATGCTAATTTATAACTTATGGCCACATAGATACATGGATAATGTTTTTCTTATGTGTTTCATGAGCATGATATTAAACTATTTAGTATTAATTTTTATACAATAGGATAAAATTTTGGTAAAATCATGCAAAACTTAAAACTTGGGCAATAAATTTCCAAAGTCAGTTTTTAAAGTTTTAAAATATTTGTTCAATTGTATATATTTAAATTTTAAAGCATATCAATTTAATTATATAACAGTTAATTCTTTGGGTTACTGCATTTATATTGTTCATAAGAACTTTTCTCTTAGTTTTCGTTTTTTTTTATCCATTGAAATACATTTTTATATAAGAACATAGCATTTCAATATATGAGCAAAAAATGATAGCAGGGAATTTCTATCAGGTTTTTTCTACTGTCAATCTATTTTGCATCAACTGTGTCATTGAATTTTTCTGAAGTAAAGGATGCTATTATACCCATATTAATAAACATGGAATACATAGAAAAAATCAATCTGCACAGGGTTAGGAAAACAGGGCTGATCCTCTTTGATGATATCATCCTCTCACTTTATATTTTGATATTCAAAATTAATTTGATCCAGTACACCTTGTGACAGCTTGCATCACAATTTAATTTCATTTATTTAAACTGTACATTTAACATTATGAATGGATTCCTTACTGTCTCTTGAATATATAATAGCAGTTATTTATACACTCATGAATTTATTTTCTATTTACTTTTTTGTGATACATATTTAGATACATTGTCCTATATTTTAATCAAATATTCTAGCATTTCATAATGCTGAGCTTGCATATCAGACAATAGTTAGTCTTTAGTGTCACATTGTAGTCCATAGATTATATCACATATGTTTCAGGGCATATTGCTATTTTAAAGTTGCATATCCATCATGTGTATATTTTTCTGTTTGTTAACCATATAGTGTGATAAAGGAATTATTTATTTAACAGAAAGTTATAAGACTTTAGCCCATTGATAACTGAGTCAAAAGGTGGAAATAAACTGGGCCTTTTAAAAGTGGTTCCAATGAAAAATAGTTATATTGAAGTCATTAATCTTAAGGAATTGTGCAGTACCCACCATTATTTGTTGTGCTTATCTCACCTCTGCATTGTATTGATTCGATAAACTCATTCTTCCCTCTGGAATGTACCAAAGCAGCAATTCTTCTCATTTAGTATTCTGTAGCAGAAGAAGAGGTTTTAATAATGTTTCTCATTAATAAAATTATTTAAATGTTAAGCTTGCCTGGTTTGTTAAGAGCGGCACATAAGAGAAGGAATATTTGAATCCTTGATAAGTGCAAGAACTGTTGAAACTTCTGAGCCCTGAGCCTGTAATGCGCTACTAGATAGACAGCTGATTGGAGCCACGAGTGACACAGCGCTTTTGCACTCATTTAGAAGTGCCGTTGTCAGTGGGCCTCCAAATTACTCTCTTAGTTAATAGCTTCCCATTACCGCAAATCATTTTTCTCTCTTTTGGGAAAATGTTGAAATTAAAAGCAACTCTTTCTGTAAGCATATTCTTTCTTAAAAATAGTTACTGGAATTGAAAATGATACCTATTACCATCATCAAACCTCGTTTCTGAATTGATACTTCAGCTTTTCTGTACAATGGAATTACAGGGTTAGCCTTATCATCCACCAAAATAATCCCCAAAGGTTAACTTAATTGTGGATTTCAATGTGTAAAGATTAAGGTCTGCTCCTCTTCCCCTAAAACTAAAAGATAATGATAGGAATTAAACAGAAATAGAGAAAAGTTACAGTAGAATGAAGTAAAAGTACTAGTCTATGGGGATTGATATAAGGCCAATATTTCCTTACAGAATAACTTTGTAGAAATATTTTCTTTGTAGAAAGATTTTTTAAAAGAATACTTTTTTTTTAGTATTTCTGTTCATAAATTCAAGAAAAGGAAAGGAATTTAACATATTTTGAAGTCC